ATATTATCCTATCCATTTAGTTTTTGGCCAACAACTAAAAAGTATTTTTTACCGGACGGTGGTCATGAATCGACCTTGCTTGTCCTCCTCTGTTATCTACAGAGCAGCTGCAGCTTACATTTTCCCCGCATTGAAGCGCATTTCCTCCGTGCTCTCAGAGCTACCTACATGTTTAAGCTAACGCTAGCTCATTAGTGTATAGCCGAGAAAAGGCACCACAAAGGGAAAAGATACCACAGTAAAGAGTTGAGCAGAGCCGCGCGCGACTCACGTAATGGCTGTTAACATTAACCCATTTGGCGCCAGAGAGCAGCAAGCGCACTTTTATCAATAGGATTTCAGTTTAGTTATTGTTCATCCTAATATTACCGCACTGATAGGTTCAAGTTAAAAATACACTTAAAGTGGGTCCGTAACGTTAAACCTTTCTACATGCCGAGAAAGCGGGGAAGGTGAAGCTACAAGCTATTAACGTTAGCTAACGTTAGCTATCAGCTAGCATTAGCTAGTCAATTGATATTGGTTAGGTTCGACTTTTAGTGGCCACAAACTCACGAGAAAGTCCAACAAGAAAAGCATTTGATGCATCACGCATTTAAAATTGATATCATCGGCACCAGTTAGATAATTATTTTCACTTAAAATGAGTCTACTAATGCTAACCTAGCCTTAATGATGTAGGCAACATTAAGCTAACGTTAGCAGCTATAGCCTCAGTTAACATTTTAGTAACACACAGCAGACAACCAACTACTTTTCTTGGTGGCAACTAAATCCGGTTAAAGTGAAAATATAATACAGCCATGAATTTAAGATGTTTACTTACTGAAAACGTAGAGCCTTGGATACCCAGACAGCCAGGAGATATGGCAAATCTTTAAAAGTGAAAAAGATTCCCGCGTCCTCCAGGGGCGGTTTGTGGTCGCACATGCGCAGATGTGGAAGTTGAATGTGGTTGTAAAATGTACACATTTTTTTCATGTAACTTTTAAATGAAGGAAATAAGCTTTTTCTAAACCATGGAAGAATGTGTTAAGATTAATTAAAAAAGATAAGTAGGATTCAATAACACGTTCAAATCAGTGAAATAACCTTGAATAAATCAAGTAATATTTAAAAGGGGTCCGAATCATTTTTTTCAGTGCATGCACAAATCAATGTTTTTATTTGTTGTTTAGATATTAGGATATCGTATAATAGCTTTTGTTGATTTCCCATGGTATTGATCAGATTAGTATTGTTGTGAGGAACACAAGTGGTGTACAGCAGCCTGCCAGCAACCCCTCAGCCATGTGGTCGGTAGCTTAGCGTCCAGTTAGCTCCCTTCCTGAGCTCTTCCTCCTTATCTCTCACACACACACACACACACCTCCCCCTACACATGCACGAATCAATGTTTTTATTTGTTGTTTAGACATTAGGATATCGTATAATAGCTTTTGTTGATTTCCCACGGTATTGATCAGATTAGTATTGTTGGAAGTTAATAAAACCTGTTATACTTTAAGGAGCAGTTTTCTGTGATTTTGTGCATATGTGTATTGTAATGCTGGCTAGATACATAGCCAGCGTAGAAAAACTCAAACCTTCAATTCCGTGCTCTTAACGAGTGAATATCAATTATGAGACTTGATTTATAGTTTGGTTATTAGTCCCTTTTTAGGCCAGTACCCCGTTATTTATTTATTTAGTGAATGATCTCATCAATTATTAATAATTCCATTGATGTCAATGATTTAATTTCACACTAGCTATTAACCAACACATTACCCCTATGTCATGCCAAACAAAATGGTGTTAGTGTCATGGGGTGATAGCCAGAACGAAGGTTGAACTCAAAAGCAGGATTCAAAGGATAAAAAAAAAAAGATTGTATTTTGGCAGCAGAGGGATTTAAATAATTAGTTTGGGATCCGTGGCCGGGGAAGATGCTGGAGAGGCAGACAGGCACAGGGGTCCAGGCGGGAGGAGCGGTGCAGTAGATAGAATCCACGCTGGAGGGAGAGGTAATGATCCGGCTGGCTGGAGGGGTTCTCCCAAGCCGCGGAGGGCGAGAGGGGAAGCCGGGGAAACACGAAAAAAGGTCAGTGCAACAAAAAACTCTTTCTTTTGAAAATCAATCTCGGGTGAGAGCTGGCCAAGTTACTACTAGGAGGGCAAAACGATCTGGCAAAGACTGGTGCTCCTGCTGTTCCTTAAGAGGAGTTCCTGACGATCGTATATGCAGGACAGGTGTGACAGCAGGCAGCCACCAGACTCCGCCCAGGTAACCAGGGAAACCTGCTCTCCCAGCCTGAAACTCAGAAACCACACCTCCAAAGCCAAGTCAGATCATGACAGTTACGTGTGTAAGGCCATTCCCAACAGTGCGGTATTTGTACAGTACAGCTTCTTTACTGTGGAACAGTGTGAATGTAAAGAGATGTAGTGTGGGGAGATTTATAGGTCAGTGTAAAAATCATTTAGTAATGTGCACCATGTTAATGTATGATTTGATATCATCTCATCTTAGGTAATAATGTCATTAAATACATGTATCTATTAAGCCATTTTGTGTGCAGGTAAGCCTGTACACCACTGGTTTACATGGCCTGTGCACTGAGCATCATTTTCTATTTTACGTGCAGCGCAACCAACATGAACATGAAAACAGGGGAATTCTCCATCTGAAAAACAAAGATTGACAAATGTACGACGAGTTGCACAAAATTAGTGTTATTACAGCGGTTTGTTTCTAAAAGAACATTTTTGCAATCCTCGGCCTAATATGTCAGTACAAAGTTTACATTTCTACATCTTCCTCTTTTCTCTCTCTTCTTTAAAGTGAGCGTGAGTTAATATATAGAATGTAGCACTTAAACATTTCACACATACAAAAGAACGGCTACGTAGGGACTTCTTCTTTCTTTGTTAAAAATGAACGTCTGCATTTAGCCATTAAATGTCGGTGGGCAGTGAGTCATGTAGAAGCTGTTGTTCAGGATGTGGCTTCATTCTGCTGTGAAAGCTTGATGTTCCACAGTCATTTGTGAACACGCTTGCTCTCAGTTCATTTCTGTTATCACGATGTTGTAGCAAAATAAAAAAGGTATTCAACATTGGAAGAGTTTTAACCAAATTTTGTTAATGTCGTATTGCAAACCTGCTCAATTGCAAATGATGACATTTTTGTTTTTTTAGATTAGTTCATCGTGTTGCTTTTATTTTTTCTTTCCTTTTTTTAAACAAAAACATTTCAATTTTTATCACACCAAACACAGCGGTTAACTCAAAAAAGTTTGGTTTATACTTTAATAAAATAGGTTTGGTTAATACTTTGAAATGATGTATTCTCATGCGAAATCCAGCATCCACACTTCAACAGAAAGAATATTAAAGGTCTTACTAGACTGAATGTTTTGTTAAAGATGAATCCCAATAAATCAGTCTTTTCCCTGCTTCCTTGATCATGTGTAACTGAGAACTTCAAGAGGAGTCACACCCCAAAAAACACAAACAAACACACAAACACTATTAATAAATAAAGTATCTGTATATGTAAAAAGTTGAAGCAATAGTTTCCACACTTTATATGAAAAACCAAGATGTCACACTGTGCACACGCACACAAAAAAGCAGAAGATCTTTGTGTGAGAAGTTGTGTTGTTTATGATGACACTTTGTTTCCATTTTGTGGTGTAGTACAGATATTCTTAACACAGGAAGCTTCAGAAACCATTTCCATGTTTCATCTTCATCCTTTTAAGGCTTTAATCGTCTTACTGATGGTCATAAATGAGGAAGTGAGATGTGAGTTGGCTAAAAGTTCTTCTTCCTCTCTTCTCTGAAGTGGATCACTAAGAGAACAGTCTCTTCTCTTGTGTGCATGTTTAATCCTGAATAAGGTTTGTCAGAAAGCTGCTGAGCGCTGAGGAGACATGGAAGCTGTGATCGGACTGTTTGTGATGATACTCGGAGTCTCTTATGGTGAGGTGTTTAACTCATGTAAATGATGTAAATTGTGCAGTTCAAAAGAGTCCTACTTAATGTTCTCTATATACATTATGTTGAAAAACATCTGAAGGTTTCATTTAATATTTGAAAGTAGTTAAAGCTTTAAGCTGCAAGATTTATTTCATTCTTAGTCAAGTATTGTACATTAAAAAAAGGAAAGAATTCAAATTGAGTTTAAAGCAAATACTGATTCACTATCTCAGTCACAATTAAAAGAATGTGTTTCACGTGAAATACAATGTATTCAATAACTAAAGGTTCTGTAAAGCAGAAGGAAGTTTTTGCATAAGTAACTAATAAAATGTTTTCTATCGATCGGAAAAGAACACTTTTTCTGTCTGCATTAAGTGAACTAAAACTCAACAAAAGTTTTCTTTTCAGTTTTCTACAAAGATGAACGGATTCAGATAATTGTATTCATATTTTTCTCTACTACAGTTTTAAAACATTTCATTTAAACTGATTCAACCATATTAAAATTGCACTCATGTTATTTATAAGTCCAGCAGAGCCTCATTTCCACAGCAAATGTTCTTAAAAGTTCCATTAGAGACAGGAATAAATGTTTTATTACATTTTACTGATATTTCATTGCAGCTGCACAATGTTTATCTTCACTTGAAAGAATAAGACATCACTGTTTTATGGATCCACTGTAACTTAAGATCTAAACATTCTAGATAAAATCAAAGCTGCACAAAACGCACAATATTTACCAAATACAGCCTGAAATATCATTTGGTGTATTTTTAAAACTGTTCGACCTTCAGTATATTTAAAAATAAAGTGCTGTAGGTTAAAACACAGGAGGAACTCCTTATAACTGGACGGGTTAACTACAATTTGGCAAAATGTTTTACAGCTAAATCTAAAGTGTGTAACACTCATCAAAACGCCTGTTTGCATAATGTTGTCTGATAGAGACACAGCTGCACCAAACACACTATTGTTGCTTTAAATGAGCAAATGCCTAAAAATGTTTCATTTTTTTGTTCCAAAATGTTCAGGTGTGGAAACCCACTGTGACGGCCGACAGAACGGAGCTCAGTGTTTTGGAGCTTTGGGAGGAACTCTGGTCCTCCAGCTGAGGACAAAGCTGGACAAAGCCTCAGAAATATATAAATATCAATGGTCAAAAAATAGAACAATAATACTAGAGGGGAATAACAATAAAACCTCATTTAATAGGATAGAAAACAGATTATTCTTTACTCCCAGTAATGGAACACTTAGGATCAATAACCTGATCAGGACTGATGGTGGTGAATATAAACTTGAAACCTTTGGTTTAGATGGAAAGACATCAGATTCCAGGGTTCAACAGTTGACCATTCAAGGTAAATAACTATTTATTACACGCATCTCATGCTCTACGTGCTCTATATCCGTATCAATGTCTGGACTGCTCTGTATCGGGAACCCTACAGAATGATCAAGATTATGTCAATATGAAAAGTCATCCGAGTGCGTTTCCTTCAGCTCCTGTGTCCTCTGTCCTGCTGGTCCATGAGTGTCTGTCCCATGGAGAGAGGAAGGTGTCCTGCTCCTCTGGGGGAGCAGACAGTCCTCAGTACAGCTGGACTCTGGATGGAGACACTCTGACAGACTCTCAGCTCCTCGGTGGAAACAATGAGACGAACATCATCACTCTGAAACAACACGTCTCAGGACGACTGGTCTGCTCGGTCAGGAATGACGTCAGTAGTCACTCAAAAGAAGAGACGGTCTCTACCTGTGGTGAGTGACAGCATGAGGCGACAAAACGGTGACGTCAACAATAATAAATATTATCGGTACATCAGTTATTGGTCTCTGTCTCACAGGCTTCATCTTCATTAACTGCACCTCAGCCGATGGGACGCACATATCACAGTGGGTGTTTGCAGCCAATAATTATCTGTGTATTGAGACAACAACAGCTTCCCCCACAAACACACCAACGTTACCTGATGGTAAGGAGTCTGGCATCACAGAATCAACGGTCAGGAATGACGTCAGTAGTCACTCAAAAGAAGAGACGGTCTCTACCTGTGGTGAGTGACAGCATGAGGAGACAAAACTAAATATTATTATTACATGTCATTTAGCAGACACTTTTATCCAAAGCAACTTACATTACACTTTAAACCCATGGCTTTTTACACTTTTGCCCGGGGAGCAATTAGGGGTTAGGTGTCTTGCTCAGGGACACTTCGACCAGAGACATGGGGCAGGACTCAAACCACCAACCTTGCAGTTCCCAGCACACCCGCTCTACCCCCTGCGCCACGAAGACTATTATTATAGTACATCAGTTATTCACAGGTTTCATCTTCATTCACTGTGTGTCATCCACAGTTAGAATAACCGAGGACCCCCCTTTGTGTTTGAAGAGTGACACACACACACAGAGTAGAAAATTAGCCTGTTTACCAGTGAAACTGTCTCTTCTGCCTCTGAACAGAGTTGACTTGTGATTTTGGTCATGCAGGTTCCTCCCTGCTCGTGTGTGGAGTGCGATTCGCTGTGCTGTTTCTTCTCTTAATTGTGATCACAGCCTTTTATCCTTGGAGGAAAAAGAAAAACAAGTTGGCTGAAGACGCTGTTGTCCGTCGACGGGTTGAACATCAGGAGAACTCTGTTATGATGGTTGAGATCTGATCTTTGACTTTGTGAATCCAGAGTCGTCTGACTCTTTTCACTAAAGTCTGATTGGTGAGAGAGGGACGCTTTTCTTATGATCAATTGTGGTACGGAGATCGTCTTGTTGTGAAGTGCACCGCTGCCTTTGGAGACGGATGAAGCGTCCACAGCAAAGATGAATTGACGTTTTATGACTCAAACTCATTTTGATGCCATTTGAACTGATGGTAAAATCGAGTTCCACCTCTTCGCTTTATGCTGAAAACAATGTATCTGAGGGTTTGAAGGTCTGAAAAAGTTCAACAGTTTTATTTTCCCACTTTTAATGTCAGATATTTAAAACCCACTGGAATAATCTGAAAAGTGCATGGAAACTGATATTCTTCTCAGAAACGTCAAGTTAATGTTGCAGAGATAAATTGTTTTTACTTTTTTTATAGTTACTTAACTTGGAAGCTTTGTATATTTTTAAAATGGTGATTTTGCATTCAAAATGTGAGTTAAAGACCAAACTGTAATTGGGCAGAATTTATCTTACAGGCATATTTACATGAATAATATGAATATGAATAATAGTTTCGTGTTTTTTTTATTTACTGATAACTAAAAAAAAATTATTTTCTTCCTTGTTTAAAAAGAGTAATATTGTAAAACCTTTCAAAACTTTAATTAGTTAGATTGTTGTTGTTGTTTTGTATACTGTCACGTACACAAGACCAGTCAATCAATCAGTTCATCCCTTTGTTGACATTTTGATTACAGACTTTAATAACTGCTGAAAGTTGAATAAAACAAAATGTAAAATAGGACTTTTTATTTTCTGCAAGTGCAATGTCTTAACCATTTTATGTCCTCAAAAAGAATAAAGTATTTTTTCTTTGCATTTATCTTTTCATTCGGTTATTTATGAGAACAATTTAAAAAAAAGAATCTGGACACACAGTTATTTCAGGCCAGACAGTTGAGATGTCGCTTGGAGGAAAAAATACCAAAATACTTAAAAGCAGAATGAGTCAAATAAAATTCTAAAGTAATAAAGCAATGGCACCATAATTTGTAGATACACTTCACAGTGCAGAGTTTTGGTGATATTCCATCTCACTTTCATTCTAACAATTGAGCCACTCGGCAGGATGAAGATCCTGTTCCTCAGTCGCTCACACAGAGATTCCAAGTCTTTTTGTTTTCTTTATTAGTTTTATATTTTATAAAACACAACTGCATCTATATTTAGTTTGTGAACTTGTTGCGCATCCTGGTAGCGGTAACAACTGTGCGATCTCCCCATCACCCATGCATCATTACCCCGTGTTAATTGCACCCGTGTGCCCTTATGTAGACTCCCTCTCACAGTAATACACAACAATAAACCTGAGATTTAATAAGCTTTAACGTCTTGTCTGTATCCACGGTGTCCACGTGTTGTATTATCTAGCATTGTGCATTAAAACTAACATTGTTTGAATTAAAGGAGAATCCTTGATCCCTGTTAATCATGAAATCACCCAAAGAGGGCAGTATTGCTATTGCTTGTATTTGAAATACGTATTTCAATTACTTTTGAGTATTTTTTGTTGTGTTTTTGAAAGTTAGTTGATACAAAGCTAAAGTTTAACCGCTGTTAAGTCCCATTATAATATATATATATATATATATATATATATATATATATATATATATATATATATATATATATATATATATATATATATGTATATATATATACCACTTAAGCACTGTCAAGCTCGATGATAAGCTAAGCTAGCTGCTAGGCTACTTCCATCTCAACATCTAAAGTTACCCTGCAGAGGACCACCACTGTGTCTCTAAAAGACTGGTTTGAATACGTCTTGGCTAAATGTGGGGAGATTGTTGGCTCTTCAAACACAGCCGTCAAATGATGGAGAGTTGAGAGCAAAGTGCACGAGGACAACAAGAGTGGCTAGTTCAACATGTTCCACCAGGTGGAACTCCGCCTCCAGGATGATCAAATGTGTGTAGTTTTGTCTTTAAGACATTAACAATTAAACAACAGTGTCTAAAATACACACTATATAACATTATAACAACAACAACATTTATTGCCAAATTCATGCATTTCAAAATGTCCTCTTCAAACACTCTCACTCAGTAGTCAGTTGTGTTTGAAGAGGACTTTAGATCAGACATCACTTTGTTTTAGAGAGGACTTTGGCTCAGACATCACTTTGTTTTAGAGAGGACTTTGGCAGTTCCCATTAATACAAGGAAAAGAATGGCCAACATTCAGCAAAAGAAGATAATGCCGGCGGAAATGGAATTCAATTCCAAGGAGGTTGAAGCTCCAAAGAACTTTTACCTACGTTCACTGGAGGAACAAGTAAGAGGTGAGCTGGAGGACAGCAAGGCAACGCTCACCCAAACTGAATCTGAGGGAAGAGTTCTCCTTCAGATCAATAAGGACAGTCTGCAACAGTTCCTAGATATTCTTCATCAACATAAGAATGGAGATGTAACGAGATATGTAGCCTGAAAGCACAGCTAAAAGAGACCGCTACCAAGCTGCAAAAGGTCAAGGGTGATGTTGAGACGTCATCCTGTGCTGAAATGCAGCTATTCAAAAACTTTTGCCAAACTAAACAGGACGAACAGCTGGATGCTATCATAAAGCTCAAGGCTGCTCTGGACAAGTCTAAGCAGGACTTGAATACGCAAATAACATTTGCAAAGAAGGACAAGGAGACGTTCTGGAACCTCGTTAAAGCTTGATTGGCCGAACAGACGCAGATCAACGATAATACCAAGTCTGCTTATGATAAGATTGAGCGGGACCTGAAGAAAGAACGTCTTCAGTGGCAACAGGAGAGGTCTTCCTAGACCTCCCAGCTAGAAAAACTGAAAGCAGAGACCAACGAGAACTTGAAAGTTAGCAAGGATTGGTTGGACAGCTGCTATCAGGAAAAGTTTGGCGTCACGGCACAGCTAAAATGCTCTCTTACCAAGCTGCAGACGCGAGACAACGGCATAAAAAAAATCACCATTGCTCTGAAGAAATGTGAATATCAGAAAGCTTGCCTGCAGTCTGCCCAGTTGGAAAAGAGCAACTCCTGTGAGGTTGACCACGCCAGTGAAAAAAAGAAGAACGACGACCTCTTGGCCGCTGTGAAGAAGGCTGAGCAGCAGCTAGAGAGCCGTACTATCGAGTGGCAGCAGGAGAGGTCTTCCTTCAAAGCCAAGCTGGAAGAAACATACACGGACCTCGAACATGCCAAGCAGAGGAACATCGCTGCTGTTCGTACAATGGAGAAGGAGGCTGCGACGATGTTTGAAAGAAACCAGGCATCCCGAGACGAGCTGGAGGAACAGAGAGCGGAGACTAACAAGATCGCAAGAACTCTGAAAGAAACAGAATATCTGTTAGAAAAGCAGCGTCTCAGCGTTCTGGAACTGACATCACAGCTTGAAACATCCAAGAGCCACTGTGTTACCACGCTGGAGACACAGAAGGAGGACCACAAAGAAGTCGTAGCTGCTCTTTGGAAGAAATGTGAAGATGACCGAGAGAATGAACGTCTCGAATGGCACCAGATGAAGTCTTACCTCCTTAAGACCACAGAACAATCCCTGGAAAGGGAGAAGGAGATGCAGAAGGACAAGGCCTGCTTATTGTCTCAGGTGGAAGACCTTCAACGTCAGACCATCAAGAAGCCAAAGAAAAAGTGGTACAAGATATTCTAATACCCGGCTGCAGAATTCAAGATCGACAACACCAACGCACACACATACACACACACACACACACACACACACACACATATAAACACATAAATACACACACACACATAAATACATACACATTAACACGTGTATTTATGTACACAAAAACATAATCATATAAATACATACACATATAAACACACATAAATACATACACATAGAAACACATAAATACATACACATAGAAACACACACATGTCCTCTCCGGGGACCATCACCTTATCGCGGTGGAGAGGTTTGCGTGTCCCAATGAACCTGAGGGCTGTGTTGTCTGGAGCCTGGTGCTCCTGGAGGGTTTCCCCTGGCACAGAGATCTCAGGCGAGGGACCAGACTAAGAATGGTTCAAAAAGAGTTGGAAAAACAAAACAGAGAACGAGGTACCTGGCCCGGATGAAGCCTGCGGCCTCCATCTGCATCTGGTGCTATGCCCAGATGGAGGGCTCGCCGCCCGAGCGTCTGGTGGGCGGGACAGGAGGCATCGGTATGGCGGCAAATCACTGTCAAAATTTGAGAGCGTAAATCAGGTTGATGCGCGCTCGTAAATCAAACATTCGCGAGCAAATCGTTCATTGAAAAATGAACGACGAACAAATCATTGATCTACTCGCTACCAGTGCTGAGCCTATGCAGGTCACGTGAAAAATGAACAGTTTG